TTGTATTAACTATCCATATTGGCATTGTGATGCGTTACAGGAGAGGCGATTAAATGTCGTTTACTTCTGGCACGATAAAAATTTTACAAATGTTCAGAGATCATTAGTAAAAAAAGTATAAATAGGTGAGAATTGATCGGTTTTTTTTAGGGAAGGGGAAACTTGAGAACAACAAAAATCTACACGGCTAGTATTTCGAAATATAAATAGAGTGGAGTGTTTTAAAAATTTTTATTTCTGGATTTAAATATTAAATCTATAATAATTTTTTCTTTCACAAGATTACAATGTTCATTCATCCATTTAATTTTTTTATAATTTAATTTATTTTTAAAAACAACCTTAATTTTGACAAATTTTCTCTAATCCTCTTTTATATTGATATCATCTATTCAGGAATTACTATAAAGAAGCGAATAAAAAGGAAGTCATATTCACATTAATTATAAATCTTTCTAAGATTTCAAACTTTGCGATGGAATAATTCACATCGCAATGAAAATTTACCGCTAAAGATATAAAAAGATTTAAAAATACTAGAGTTTGAAACTAGAAAGTAGATAAATATTTTGTTAATAAACATGATTCATAAAGTTGTGTATATATATTAAAGCAATAGCGGGAGACTGTTATTGTTTTTTGAGGCATGAACTTTTTATTTTAATTTATTCCAATGATATGATTGAAAATTTCGCTCTCGTGCTTTTAATTACTTACTGAATGAATATACACGATCTATAGGTTTAATAATTATTGCGGAAAATGTGAAGCAGAATTGATATATACTGTATATTTATTTTTTAAAAAAAAATCGCGGAAATAAACATTTCACGTGATTATGCGACACTTACTTTAATTGAGCAAAAAGAAACGAAAAAGCCAATCTATAAGAGGAATCTTACAAAGAAAAGATATTCTCTGTATCATCAGTAATATGTCTCTTTATTGTAATCTTTGCTGTAACACTATCTCGGTCATCATATCCCAATATTTCATTTGCAAACAATACGATACACGAGCCATCATGTGAACTTCAAGGGAATTGTCAGTATATTTATGGGAAACATGTCGAAATTTCTGATTAATAAGGTTGAATATATGTCCGAACGCCTTTTCAAAAAAGCAAAGTTCCTCATATCTTTAATAATAAAAATTCCTGAAGATTTGGGACCATATTATTATTATAAATTGTTGTAACATAATATTTTAATTAAAAGATAACAATTTAATTGTTTAAAATTTGGATATAATTAAATTCAGAAATTTATCTTTATCTTTATTTTTTTTTTTAAAAAAAAATAAAAAAAATAGATTAATTAATCATCTACAAAAAATATCGTGCCAGAAGTAAACGACATTTAATCGCCTCTCCTGTAACGCATCACAATGCCAATATGGATAGTTAATACAA